AGAGAGGATGCAGAGAATTGAAAAAGGATTTTTGCTCACATGAACCTAGGAGGGATCTTATCACCCTCCAAGATGCACAGGAAGGCATGGGGCCGCCAGCTCTGTAAAATATCTAGCCCTTTGCTGGTTTTCTAAACATTCTATTAACACAGTGTTTAAGCAACCTGGTTTTGAATTCATAAGTAAAGGATTTCCTGGTTATTCAACATTCTTTGGCTTTTTGAACTTTTGTTTTGATTCCTTACTTATCTGCATGTAGCAAATTAGATGATGGCAATTAAGCCCTCTCCCGGGAAAAGGAAGCACTAAAACTACTGGCTGCAGGGTCCTGTGTGTCCTGGTCACACGTTCTCTCGCAGGGCTGAAGAGTTTTTCCGGGATACACGATAATTACACAGCAGCGATCACTCAGAAGTAGAAAGTGCCTTTGGGAGGAAACTAGATGGTAGGCGGACTTCATTTTGCAAAAAGAGACACTCTGTATTACGGCGACTAGGAGTCAGAGTATACACAGAATTGCCCAAAGAGCAGGACCTCTTTGTAGATTTTACCCATACAAAATATGCTTTTTGTTAACTTCTCTTCCCCGAGCCTCAGAGCCTCCTGTGTGTCATGGATTAGACGCTTAAGGCAGCACTGAACTCTGAGGACATCTCTCAGCAGGGCTTTCAGCGCACTCTCCCCCATCACCCCCACTTCTCCCCTCGCTCCCTCCTCACATACACCCTCAGAGCAATTACACTACAACCTACCTGGGGAGAATCTGCTGGCTTCTCTGGGACGCTAGCTGCATCTTCAAAATGAAGCAAAGATCCGGGAATTGTCTGAAAACTCACATTGGTGCACATGTCTTATTTGGACAGATTAGATCCTATAGCAGCTTTTGGTCCTGGATTTTGTGCATTGATCAGACTGCTCAGATAATTCATCAAGTCCACTTTGTACCATTTTTGGACACCCTAAATACCTAAATTCTTAATGACTATTTCTGTTGGGATAAGTGGATACCCTCAGTATCTCTTTTTATCACGCACAGTAATAGCCTAAAGTGCATGGAGAAATATCCCAGAATCCCATCTATTTTTTACCATCATCAGCCCTAGAAATTCATTATGAATATTAAAGATGAATACGGTTGAGGTCCAGATGAAAAGAACCGCCCCATTTCCATTTTCACTGTTTTTTCAAGTGGATGTCATATATCATGAAAGTACAACAGTGGGATGAACAACACAGGTAGTGTAACTAAGCACATAAGTTTAAAATAAATGCGTTAAAGTAGCTAATTATACTTTATAGGAAGAGAAAATGTTTTCTCATGTCCTGATAAATGGGTGATGGGTAATTTAAAATTTTGTGGATATCCAAAATTTGGTTGCCTATTTTTTTCTTTTGAATTTTAGAATTTTATTTATTTTTTTATACAGCAGGTTCTTATTAGTTATCCATTTTATACACATCAGTGTATACATGTCAATCTCAATCTCCCAATTCATCCCACCACCCCACCCCCCACCATTTTCCCCCCTTGGTGTCCATACGTTTGTTCCCTACATCTGTGTCTCTATTTCTGCCCTGCAAACCAGTTCATCTGTACCATTTTTCTAGGTTCCACATATATGTGTTAATATACGATATTTGTTTTTCTCTTTCTGACTTCACTCTGTATGACAGTCTCTAGATCCATCCACGTCTCTACAAATGACCCAATTTCATTCCTTTTTATGGCTGAGTAATATTCCATTGTCTGTAGGTACCACATCTTCTTTATCCATTCATCTGTCGATGGACATTTAGGTTGCTTCCATGACCTGGCTATTGTAAATCGTACTGCTGTGAACATTGGAGTGCATGTGTCTTTTTTTTGTGTGTGTGTGGTACGCAGGCCTCTCACTGTTGTGGCCTCTCCCATTGCGGAGCACAGGTTCCGGATGCGCAGGCTCAGTGGCCATGGCTCACGGGCCTAGCCGCTTCGCGGCATGTGGGATCTTCCCAGACCGGGACACGAACCCGTGTCCCCTGCATCGGCAGGCAAACTCTCAACCACTGCACCACCAGGGAAGCCCTGTCTTTTTGAATTATGGTTTTCTCTGGGTATATGCCCTGTAGTGGGATTGCTGGGTCATATGGTAATTCTATTTTTAGTTTTTTAAGGAACCTCCATACTGTTCTCCACAGTGTCTGTATCAAGTTACATTCCCACCAACAGGGCAAGAGGGTTCCCTTTTCTCTACACCCTCTCCAGCATTTGTTGTTTGTAGATTTTCTGATGATGGCCATTCTAACTGGTGTGAGGCCATACCTCATTGTAGTTTTGATTTGCATTTCTGGTTGCCTATTTTAAACATGCTGAGCTGAAGTTTGAAAAAGCTGTCCAGTTCCAGAGCGCAATTCTTCACTGTTACTCTCTATGGTCTCTTAATATAATTAAGGAGATAACAGGAGCATTGTTTTGCCAGGAGGGGTGGAAATTGGTGAAGAAAGGGTTAGGCTACCAAATAGTAAATATGTTAACAGCTCCACAACCCAAAGAGCCTGGTATTGGTCAGCGAAAGATAGACTCATCTTACAATAAAAAAAAAATAAATCCAAAAGTAGACAACAATATATGTCTGAGAATTTAGAGGAAAAATAAATTGCATCCTATCTGTCTCCTTTCTGCCCAGCACATTATAGGAGCTCAATAAATGTGTTGTTATTGAATCACATTCAGATTGTTCAAGATTTAAATGGAAAAATAAAACTACAGTTAAGGTTTCGATAAGCAATTTTAGATGAGTATTTCTATCATCTTTGGTGGAGAAGAGCTTCCTAAGCAGAGTATCGAAACGATGCCATAGAGGAATACATTGATAAGTTGACTACTAAAAAGTATAAAACTTGTCCAAGTCTGAGCATACAGAGTCTTATATAAATAACCCGAAGATCTCATCCTCAAAAAAAAAAAAAAAAAAAAAGTCTCATTCTGGAGCCTTGAATAGACACACATAAAAAATATAAATAAAAAAATAAAATGAAAACTTAGGATTCTGTCACTGATTAAATATCTACAAAGTGCCTACAGCACTGGGATGAGCTTCATCAGACCAGATTAGTCCAGTATGCAAAGAGGATCATATTTCTATAGAGACAAAACCTTCCAGCAGCTTTAATTCCTCACGAAACCTCAGACCCCATGCAACCATTAGCTGAAGTAAACATGATGAGAGAACAAGCATCAGAATTGTCGGTAAATTCTGCAAAGTTGAAGTCTAAGCCATCAGTTTCAGTAATTCCCAGAAATAACAGCCAAATCTAAACACTGTGTAGTTTTGTGATTTTACAGTTGAGCCAGTGCAAAGGTTTTAGGAATTTAAAAAATCATATAATTGTTGTCTCATACACAGACACCATTGTATCTAGTTAGCTTTTAAAAGTATTCATTCAGCCTAAGTGAAATACCATCAAAGAATTTAGGATGGAAAAACTGCATAGAATCAAGGTCAAGTGAAAGCCCTAAATAACTTCTAAGAGACTTGCAACACCCTGAACAGATATAATCTGGTCGTTCCGTCTCGCTGACTGACCTCAGCACGTGAATAAGGCCGGCTTTAAGCAGCTGAAGTGGTGTTTACTTTTGTCCAGAATCTATACCCTAACTGTGAATTTGCACTTTAATTTGTAGTAACCCCAAGTAATAGGATATTTCCATGTCGAAGTGGGGCCCATGAAGAACGTTGCAGGCATGGGTTTGAATTGGGGTGATCCCTGAGAACTATCCTAGTGAAACTGATGTTCTAATCTGTGCGTCAGCCACAGTGGCATGTCGAGTAGGCTCATTTGGAGCTAATATCAAATCCTTACTAAAGACCCCTTACAGAGGCCCCTGAACTCCCCACCAAGAGACTGTGCCTCAGAGTGTCCTGAAGGACAGGGACAATGACCCAGATAACTCAGACTGAAGAAAGGTACCACTTCTGCTTCAAAGTGTCCAGTAAGACACTTGGCGGTGAGAGTATTAGAGAGCGGAGGTAAAACCATCCTGGAACGATCCATACAGCCTCTATCCTCCCTTTGCTTGGCGTGAGAATACACAAACTGTTTATATTGAGTTAGGTAAAATAAGCAGAAGATAATTCTGAGACCATTATTTTATGTTGGCAGGTCGTATTAGAGCTTGTTAAGAAGACTCCTTTGGCAGAAACAGACTCACAGATATAGGAAACAAACTTGTGGTTACCAAAGGGGAGACAGAAGGCGGCAGAGGCAAATTAGGGGTATGAGATTAACAGATACAAACTACTTACTAGGTACACAATAGATAAGCAACAAGGACGTATAGTATAGCACAGGGAATTATAGTCATTATCTTGTAATAACTCATAATAGAGAATAATCTATAAAAATGCGGAATCACGATGCTGTATGCCTGAAACTAATATAATGTTGTAAATCAACTATGTTTTAATACACTTTGGGGTTGCTTTCGGTACTCACTGTAGGAGAAAACTGCCTTGGGAGTGATTAGTAGAAATCTGTAATTGAGTACCCCTAGTGTCCATGGGAAAGAGAGAACTCAGAGACAGATGACATAAAACTGGGCATTTTATCCTTTGCCATGGGGTACAAAGTGCTTTTTCCCCTCCTCGGGGGGATCTGTGAAATGCAACATAGAACTGTAACCTAGGCCGGTTGGGAAGGGTCTACCCTTTACTACACCAGGGTCAACACCACCATAGGGGGCTAGAAAGTAGCACCATCATGACCTCGCTGGTACCAAAATCACGAGTTTGTTTTAGGTTCTTTTCTCATACAAGATAGCAGCACCCCAAGGTAGCTGAAGAGAGAGAAAATCAACTCCATTTCGGGCTGTTAGATCTGAGAATTAGACTTGGCTGTTCGATCTGGCATAGAATCATTGAAAGAAGTGTCGTTATTTGGTGCCTGTTCCTTTGTCCAGACATTTCACTGTGATTTTCTCTTTCTCTCATCCGCTTACCCTGTTGTCCCTCTCACAACAGGTGTAGAAGACATCGTGGCAATAATGATTCCTGAGCCCAAAGGGAAGGAGATAGTAAGCCTGCTGGAGAGAAACATCACCGTGACGATGTACATCACCATCGGAACCCGGAACTTGCAGAAATACGTGAGCCGCACCTCGGTTGTGTTTGTCTCCATCTCCTTCATCGTCTTGATGATCATTTCCCTCGCCTGGCTGGTCTTCTATTATATCCAGAGGTTTCGATATGCAAATGCCAGGGACAGGAACCAGGTGAGTAGCAGAAAGTTAAAAAAAGAAAAAACTTAAAAATTATTACCAGAATAAGACATATTATTGTGTAAACTTTGGAAATCACAGAAAATACCAAGACCAAAACCAAAATTACCTATGATGCCCCCACTCAGGATAAACACTGTTAACATTTACTGTATAGTTTTTCAGATCTTTTCCAGGTACACATATTTTGATGTTTTGCTAACATCGTTCTGTAACATGGAAGTGCTTTGTCCCACGTTCCTATTGCTCATTTGGGGGACAATTATTTACTTATTTAAGAACAAAATAAAGGGAGAAAGAGGAAGGGAGCTGAGATTATGCTAATTGTATCAACATAATGTGGAAAGAGCCAGGATGTCCTCCTTGTGAACAGAAGGAGACAAAAAATAAAAGGTATTTTAAAAAACAACTAATTTTGGAACAGACAGTGCCTACACATAGTATAAAATGAAAAAGGTACAAAATGGTATACGGTGAAAAGTAATTGCTTTCCCATGTTTGTCCCTCAATTAAGCAGTTCTTCTCCTTGGAATATCTTCCCTTCCAGGGATATTTTATATGCTTACAAACGTGTGTGTATGTGTATATGTGTGTTTTTAAACAAATGATAGCACACTTAACTCTGTACCTGTACTTCTCACTTCATCTTGGAGATTAATTCTTATCAACACTCAATCCAAGCTGCCTTCTCATTTCTAATAACTGTATAGGCAGACCTTGGAGATATGGCAGGTTTCATTCCAGACCACTGCAATAAAGCAAACATCTCAATAAAGCGAGTCAACAGGAATCTTTTGGTTTCCCAGTGCACATAAAAGTTATGTTTACCCTATACTATAGTCTATTAAGTGTGCAATAACATTATGTCTTAAAAAAACAATGTATGTACCTTAATTTTAAAATATTGCTAAAAAATGTTAACCATCATCTGAACCTTCAACTCATCGTAATCTTGTTGCAATAGTAACATCAGAGATCACTGATCACAGATCACCATGACAAATATAGTAATAATGAAAAAGTTTGAAGTATTGTGAGAATTACCAAAATGTGACACAGAGACACAAAGAGCAAATGCTACCAGAAAAAATAGTGCCGATAGATTTGCTCAATGCAGGGTTGCCACAAACCTTCAATTTGTAAAATACACAGTATCTGTGAAGGGCAGTAAAACGAGGTATGCTATATAATGCTTTATTTTCTGCATATGCCGCATTTATTTAACCAGCTCCTATTAATGTTTTCTCTTACCAAATGTTTTCTCTTACCAAAAAACAAAACAAAACACACACACACACACAAACATGTACACATGACACAACACATTTGTGAGTATATCTGTATGGTAAATTCTGGAAGTTTTATAGCTAGGGCAATAGTATGTGTACTTTAAACTATAATAGATACTGCCAAATTGTCTGCCAGAAAGGTTGAACCAATTTATACATTAACCAACAATATAGTAATACTGTTTATACTAATATAAATGACATTCATGCAGTAGAGTATTAATTTAATACTGCTTATACTAACATATACAACAATATACTAATGACAACCACTACTTACGCATATCCTCACCAAATGAATATTACAGCTTTTTTGTTGTATGCAATTTAATAAGTTAAAAATGGTATCACATTTTTCTTATCACAAATAACATAAAATAGAAAAAGGTGATTTTTTTTTTTCTATGAAGTATCTGCTTACATTATTAGACCACTTTTCAATTGAGCTGTTGGTCACATCGTACTGGTGTGTATAAGCTCTTTACTGGTCAGAGCAGTTAACCCTTTTTTGGGGAATCCTACAGATTCCATTTTTTTTCTCCCAAGTTGTTGTTGTCTTTGATTTATCTTTGGAGCTTTTTACCATGCAGAAATTTGGGGGTATTACATAACTGAATTTATCAATTTTTATAGCTCCTGAGTTTTATGTAATAAGATCTTCTATAGCCCAAGACTATAGAAAAACAGTATCTCATGGTTTCATCCACTGCTTTTTTAATTTCACTTTTATGATTAAACTTTAATCTACAGAGAACTTATTTCAGTGTAAGGAATCAAGTACAGAGCCAACATTAGTTTTGTTTCAGATTGCCTACCAGTTTTTGTAACTGGTATTTATTGAATAATTAATCTTTTCCTTCTCGTATGCAGAACCCTCCCCATCTAGCATATATTAAAGCCCCATATGTATTCAGTTCTATTTCTATGCTCTATAAAATGTAGCTTTAATCTGTCTATTCACATTCCAATATCATACTGTTTTGAATGTTTTAGCACCATAATGTCTCATATCTGTTCATGCTAATCTTCTTTCATTGCTCTTTCACTTTTTTCGTGTTTATCTTTGCATGATTTTAGAATCACTTTTAGCTAGGTTTTTAATTTATAGAATAATTTAGAAGGAGTTTATAACCTACTGATGTTGAATCTTCCTATCAAAGTGTAGTATATGTTTTCCCTTTATTCAATTATTCTTTTTATTCCCTAACAGCATTCCAACTATCCTCATTTAATCTTGCACATTCTTCTTATGTTTATTCCTAGGTCACTGTGTTGCAATTATAAATGAAATCCCCTTTTTCATATGGGAAGTCTTTTGATTTTTTATGTTTATTTTGTACATTATTATAATTTAGTAATTTATGTATTTTATAATTTATTATCATTTTAAATTATTATTATTACCTTAATAATAGTGATCTTATATAGTATATATTAAGTGTAGGCATGTTGTAAGAGCTCTCTATATATTTACATACTTAACCTACTTAATAGGCTTATAGCAGATAATTCTGTTTTCTTCATTTTACAGAGAAGGAAACAGAGGTTAAATAAGTTGCCCAAGGTCACACAGCCTGTTACTAATAGAGACAGCAGCTGAACCAACAGCAAGGCTTCAGAGTGTATGCTCTTAACCACTACACTGTGGTACTTGTGATTGTTTGTATCAGTTTATCAGGATTATACTAATAATATGCAATCAATGATAATTTACTTCTTTCAAATTTTAAAACTCCTTTTTTTCTCTATTATCTAACTTCACTGACTTGTGCCTCCAGAATCAACTAAAGTAATAGTAGTAATAGTGAACATATTACTCTTCATTCAGTATTTAATGGGAACATTCTGAGTTTAATGGATCGTTTTTATCATTTCTCAATTTTATTATTTCCCCATGCAGTCTTCTAGGTTCAGACATATATTTAACATGTTGTATAAATGTCAACACAGTCCTGTTTTATTCAGAGTTTTAATCAAGAATGTACTTTTAATTTTAACAAATGCCTTTGCAAGAGCTGTAGTCTGGGTTTTCTCTTTTGATCTATTAATAGGAGTGGTTTAAATTAATGGATTTCCTAATATTGAACCATCCTGAATTTCCAGTACATGCTAATCCTCTGATGTGTGCTAGACTGTTTTGATCATATCTTATGTGGTACATTATTTATTTTTTACCTTGATATTCACATGTGAAATTTGTCCATAGTTTACATTTTTATCATGTTTAGGTAAGGGCTATACTGGTTTTATAAGAAGATTTTGCAAATTTTCCTCCATTTTCTGTAGTCCAGAGTTGCAGTGTCCAACATGGTAGTCACTAGCCATGCGTGACTATTTAAATTTAAATTAATTGTAATAAAATAAAATGTAAAATTCTGCTCCTCAGTCATACTAGCTACATTTCTAGTGGCTACTAGAATAGATACAGCATAGATAGGACACTTTCATCATCATAGAAAGCCCCATCGGACAGCCCAGTTCTAGAGCATTTTAAACAGCCCTGGAATTCGCTGATCCTTGAAGTATTATAGAACTTTTTGTAAGCCAATAAATTCTAAGTTGTTTTAGGAGGACAGCTCTTGGACTTTTTATTTATTTTATGGAAATTTGTCTGTTTAAATTTTCTATAGCTTCTGGAACAATTTTTTTAAACATTTTTATTGCTTTTTTCTGACTCTCAAAATGATGCATGTTTATTCTAATAAATTTTGGCAATCATAGAAAAATACTAAAAGAGAAGACAAAATCACTCATCACCTTACTGAATTGTTAACAGTTGAGTACATTACCTTTCAGAATTTTAAGCCCATATATATATATATATATATATATATATATATATTCAGTAAAATGTCATCGTATATGTCTCTATGTATGCATGAGATACAGACACACATGTAAGACAAGTAAGTTTGTGTTCTCTTTTTTTATTAAATGGTGAGCATTTCCCCCATCATTAAATAATCTTTGAAACATGATTTTTGGTGGCTACCTAGTAGTTGGTTTCCACCACTTACCACAAGTGGACAAGATACTTTGTGCTGTAGTTTTCTAAACTAAATGGGAATATACCTTCTTTTTATAGTTATAGTGAGGATTAAATGGCTTAATGTATCTTCTATTTTAAAGTCCCTGAACATGATCAATCACTTGCAAAGCTCTCAGTGAAGGGTGTCATTATTACTATCATATAGATTCCATAACGATTACATACAATTCCAACTGTGCCACTTTTACTGAATATTCTGGAATTTAAGCGGACAGTTATTACCAGTTAGACACAAGGCAGTGAAACTAGATATAGAACAAATATGTTCAGTTCCACTGGTTCCTAAGGGTTACGTTTGAAGAAACCATACAGATATAAATCAGTTATTGCAAAGACACTTTCCAGCTGATCCAACAATGATCAATAGAAATGGTACCCCTATCTTTTTGCGTCTATAGATAACCCAAGCAATCATTGGGAAATTGAGGTAAGGATGAAATTTTAGGCTTGACTTGGTTGAGTAACTATTTCAATTGCTAGTTCACTTTGTGCCGGTAGACAGAGATTGCATTTCTGTCCTGGCCTATGCATACTCTGTGATGTATGTGAAAAACAAATTAGAGGTGGATGGGGTTTAAGTGTTTACTCTGCTCCCTTCCTTGATTACAGGATGTTACCTTCAGGTTACGCAGTGAATTTGGATCATGCTGAAAGTT